ATAAAAAATATAATTAATATATCCTTAATATATACCCTTATAATGCAAATTAAGAAAATCCTTTAAAATTTAACATTTTTAAGAAAAAAATTAATCATTACTAAATAATTACTCCTTATTTTCTACCCTTTAGGTACAATTACATGAGAACGAAATATAAGCTACCATAAACTATAATTGGATTCCTAAATAAAAAAATTAAATACAAAATAACATATGAAATTAATACGTATTAGTTTTGATTTTAAAAAAAAAATTAAAGTCTTAACATAGATTTAAAAATTAATTATATATCATAATATAATTAATTTTTAAACTAACTATTAACAATTAATAAGATATATTTTTAAATTTTAAATTAAATTTTAATAAAATAAAATAAAATAAAATAAAATAATTTAAAATTTAAAATTTGTTTTATTTTAAAAGTCAAAGTTTATATTCACTTCTCCCATAACATGTATAAGTTATAAATTTTCAATCCGATTCGTGACGTTATGACTGCTGCTACATCATTTTAGCCAAATTTTCAAGGAAAGTAGGCCCCATTCTTTCTTCTTTGACCAACACGAGTTGCGTAAAGGGATTTGCTTCACTTCAGCACCGCCATTACCGCCACAAAATCGTCACAAAATCACAGCATTAGATAGCCATTTACAATTCAATCCTTATCCATAAGATAATATAAAAGGAATCAGGGTTCACAGTTCATATGAATGATCCTTAAGGCGTAAATTAAAAATATAAAAAATATGTTTTTAATTAATTTATATAAGAAATTATAAAAATTAATGTTTAATTTAATATTATTTATATATAAATAATTTTAATTACAAATAATGTTTATTTGCTTTACATTGTAAAAATTAAGAAAAATATTATTTTAAAATTATGTCATTTTAATAAATATTTATTAAAAAAATTAAAATATTTTATTTTAAAGCATGTATAAAATATTTTTTTATCTTTTTTTCTTAATTTTTTTAGATAAATGGATAAACATTAACTCTATTTTAATTAATTAACTAATTTAAAATTATAATTTATTCTTTTCTATAAATTAATTGTTAAAAAACACATTAATTATATTCATTAACTTATACCCAACAACACGTCTTTGAAAAATCTAACGGGAAAATCACAGCCTCACATTTTCTCGCAACCATGGCGGCGGCTATCCCAGTCCACCAGCACCTACCGACCATACCCATATCTATCTTTAATCACGGCCATCAAAAAACTTTAAAACTCATCGAACGGGTCAGATGTTTATTTGTGGTCTAACTTGGATAGCAGACGATTACAAAACACCATCACCTACACTGTAGTGGCGATACACATAACTTAATCTAATGTTTTAAAATTCCACGGCTAAGAAACATCCCTCTAGGAGAGATCCCATGAGAAATAATTAGCCATGTTTTACCGGCTCGCCGTAGTGCTGTGTCTCCTGGTGAACTCAGTCGCCGGAGGTTTTAACTTCACCTATAATGGGTTTCGGTCGGTGAATTTGAGCCTCGATGGTGTAGCAGAGGTCACTTCCAATGGACTCTTGAAGCTCACCAATGATTCGGATCAGCAACAGGGTCATGCTTTCTACTCTTCCCCTGTGAAACTCAAGGATTCCACAAACGGCACTGCTTTCTCCTTCACGACCACCTTCGTCTTCGCCATACTCCCACAATACCCCACTCTCAGCGCTTCCGGAATGGCTTTTGTAATTTCACCAAGCAGAGGCCGTCCGGGTGCTCTGGCGAATCAATATCTCGGCCTGTTCAACGAGAGCAACAATGGAAATGACACCAATCATGTTGTTGCAGTGGAACTCGATACGATACAGAATGTCGAGTTCAAGGACATAGATAACAACCACGTCGGAATTGATGTTAATGGGTTGACGTCCAAAGTGTCCCATGGAGCTGGGTATTATGTGGACGGCACCGGCCAATTTATAAACCTGACGCTGATCAGCGGACAGCCAATGCAACTTTGGGTAGAATACAATAGTCTAGAACAGAGAATGAATGTCACCTTAGCTCCAATTAATGTTCCTAAACCCAAACTCCCACTTTTGTCTCTGTCGAGGGATTTATCGCCCATCGTCAACGATACTGTATATATCGGATTCTCAGCGTCAACGATTGCGGTCGTAACATCTCATTATGTTTTGGGTTGGAGTTTTATGATTAACGGCCAAGCAGAGGAGCTCGTTATTTCACGGCTGCCTAAGCTTCCTCGCAGAGGACCGGAGCAAACATCAAAGTTTTTAACAATTGGATTGCCTCTGATTTCCCTGACTCTGGTTTTCGCAACAGTTTCAGGGGTTTTTTATTTCATACAGAGGAAGAGGAAATTCGCAGATGTAGTTGAAGATTGGGAACTCGATTACAGGCCTCAAAGATTCAAGTACAAAGATCTGTACGTAGCCACAAAAGGGTTCAAGGACAAAGGGTTACTGGGTTCCGGTGGGTTTGGTAAGGTTTATAAAGGAACATTACTCACCTCCAAATTGGAGATAGCCGTCAAAAAGGTCTCTCATGAATCAAGACAGGGGATGAAGGAATTCGTGGCGGAAATTGTTAGCATCGGTCGTCTCCGTCACCGGAATTTAGTACAACTCCTGGGGTATTGCCGGAGAAAAGGGGAGTTGCTCTTGGTCTATGACTACATGCCCAACGGAAGTCTGGACAAGTACCTCTATGGCCAGCCGAACGTCACCCTGAATTGGAGACAGAGGTTTAGGGTCATCAAGGGCGTAGCCTCGGGGCTACTCTATTTGCACGAAGAATGGGAACAAGTTGTGATTCATAGAGATGTAAAGGCCAGCAATGTTCTCTTAGACAGTGAATTGAACGGAAGATTAGGAGATTTCGGGTTGGCGAGATTGTATGGTCATGGAACGGATCCACAGACGACACATGTGGTGGGTACTCTAGGGTACCTAGCGCCGGAGCACACCCGAACAAGGAAGGCCACAACCAGCACCGATCTGTTTGCTTTTGGTGCCTTTTTGCTAGAAGTTGCCTGTGGAAGAAGGCCGATTGAGCCACAAGGTGAAACAGAGGATTTGATCCTGGTTGAACTGGTGTTTTCGTTTTGGCAAAGAGGGGAGATTCTTGAGATCAGAGATCCAAAATTAGGGACGGATTTTGTGGCAAAGGAGGTGGAGTTGGTATTGAAGCTGGGGTTACTCTGTTCACATTCAGACCCCAGAGCCAGGCCAAGCATGCGCCAAGTGGTGCAGTACTTAGAAGGGGATGTTCCTTTACCGGACTTATCAGCACTAGGCCTGACTGCCAGTGGCCTAACGTTTGCCCACGGTGAAGGTTTTGATGACTTTGTCACGTCCTATCCGTCTTCCATGGATAAGGCACATACACATTCCTCTTCAATTGCAGAATCCCTACTTTCAGGAGGTCGATGAATCTGGAAACTTTTGTATTTTATTTTGTGTTTCGTACGGAATATTTTGTTTGTGTTTTTCTCTATAGAAAACTGTAAAAAAAAATTACAATCCGCACTCCAAAAACGACATCATTCATTTTTTATTCTGGAAAAGCCCTCATTCCTCTTAATCTCTTCGCAGTCGTAATCCTCTTCTTCATTGTTCGAATCTGATAGGTTGTGTACCTCTTCTCCAACACAATTGCTCTTCTTCCAGTCGATCACTAAAGGATTTCTTCTCGCCTGTTTGGTATCAAAGAGCGCCTAGGGTTCAATTTGTAAATGAAGGTGGGACAGGGAACCTTGGTGGGGTTTGTGCAGCATCTTTTTACTCTTGAGGAGGAGATTGTTGTGGTTTATGTGTATGAAATTTAGCTTGAGCCTCCCTTGGGTTCAAGGGAAAGGACTTGGAAAGTTCTTGATGCAGTTAATTTAACTTATTACTAGAAAGCTTATTTCAAATTTTGTTGCTTTTTATCTTAAATTGAATTGAATTTGATTTTCTTGAGTTTTCATCTTTTTTTTTGTAAAATCAATGGGTGCTATGTTGTTAACTGTTCAAAAAGCAAGCTTTTTGACTATGAATTTTTACAAAAACAAGCCAAGGTAAGCAAATGAATATGGAAATATTTTTTTGGAGCCTTAATGAAATAGCTATGATCATTTTGTGGGTAAAGCACAACTTAAGTGCTTCATCGAGTGTATGGGATTTTAGATAGAGCCATAATGCATTCTTGGAGTAGTATCATGGTTGTCTCTTGCGTGTATCACATTTTCTTTAAGTATATCTCTAATTACATGAATGCAAAACTCTTGGAATTATGCACACACTAAATGAAAACAATTTGGTTCTGGATTTTTTAGGTAAGAGTTGCAAGCTAAGATGGTTTAATCAATTGGATGTAAGGATCAACATGAGCTTTTACAGAAAAAGAGGAGGAGAGCTGATAGAAGCTCACAGGATCTATGATAAAAATGGACAATCTGTGTATAGGACGATGGAAGATCCAAGTCACCTTTTTTTTTTTTTTTTTGGCTTGATTAATGCTATTAGAGAGTTGAAGTGTGATTAAAGTGTATGAAATATAAATTGACCAAGGAAGGGAAAGGAAAGAAAAGAAGAAAATGAGTTCTTTGAATGGATTTTGTATTGGCAGCTTGATTTTTGTTGTAATTGAGTTAATTTTGATAGTTTGAGTATAGGCATCTTTTCTTTATAGTAGCTTTGTATTGAAAGCTATTTGTTCCTCAAAATGGCTTATATAATACTATTATTTTGAAATAGAAATTTTATTTGGTCTCAAATGCAAACTGTCCAAATTCTGCATATGTTATGAGAATAACAAATTGGTATATAATATTGAAATGACAAAATGACAAATTATGCATCATTTACTGCCGAGATGCTGCCATAATGTAACTTTTTGCCTATACATAATGCTGCCTCTTTGCTATACAAAACGCTATAAAAAATGTTGACGGTTTGCCAAAACCGCATCAAGCATGCCAAATTGTCTATACAAAATTCGGTCTGGTTTTGACATTATGGAATTCATCATAACCACAACAAAATGTACCATATTAGAATAAACCCCTATGTATTATCAGTACATTCTTGTCAAAATTCACATAATCTTTACTGTCAATCTCATCTATAGTTGTCTTGCTTTAAATTCTTTAGACATTGCAGGAGTAACTAAAGAAGAAGCCATCAAACCATATGTATTGATATGCCACCTACTAAGCAAGAAAAAAAAATATCAATCAAGTTCAAGCATTCAAGAATATGCACATATGGTTTGTCAAAGAACAAACCTTGAACATAACATGCACATAGTTTCATCAATAAGACTAATTTAGATTTCATAGAAAATGTGCCAATAAGGGCAAAAACAATGCATTTAGTCTGTGAAGAATCCTTTAGTAATTTCTTTGAGATACACACAAGAGAAAACCATGATATATACTGCTCTAGGAATGCATTATGGCTCTATCTAAAATTCCATATACTCAACGAAGCACTTAAGTGGTGCTTTTATCCACAAAATGATCATAACTATTTCATTAAGGCTCCAGAAAAATATTTCCATATTCATTTGCTTACCTCGGCTTGCTTTTGTAAACATTCGCAGCCAAAAAGCTTGCTTTCTGAACAGTTAACATCATAGCACCCATTGATTTTACAAAAAAGATGAAAACTCAAGAAAATCAAATTCAATTCAATTTAAGATAAAAAGCAACAAAAATTGAAATAAGCTTTCTAGCAATAAGTTAAATTAACTACATCAAGAACTTTCCAAGTCCTTTCCCTTGAACCTAAGGGAGGCTCAAGCTAAATTTCATACACATAAACCGCAGCGCAGCAATCTCCTCCTCAAGAGTAAAAAGATACTGTACAAACCCCACCAGGGTTCCTTGTCCCACCTTCATTTACAAATCAAACCCTAGGCGCTCTTTGATACCAAATAGGCGAGAATAAATCTTTGAGCGATTGATTGGAAGAAGAGCAATTGTGTCGGAGAAGAGGCACACAGCCTATCGGATTCGAGCAATGAAGAAGAGGATTATGACTACGAAGAGATTAAGAGGAATGAGGGCTTTTTTCCAGATTAAAAAAAGAACGTTGTCGTTTTCAGAGTGCGGACTATAATATTTTTTTTTTAACAGTTCATACTGAAAAACAGTTTCTATTTTCTCCATATGGTTGTTACTAACAATGTTAAATTACCTTCTCTCATTGTGCAAACAGGTAAAGATATATGCTTTTT